CAAACATAATATCATCAACTCTATGTTGAGCGTCCATGGCAAGCCAATTAGCAAGTTGGGTGACCTCCCTATTTACATAACTAGCCTGCACGTTCCAATCACCAAAAAGCAAATTGCGCGCCTCTTGAATTTCACCTCGCAAAGGATGATTTACACCACCTTCAGTCCTTAGAAGATGAATACCTTTTAGTGAATGCATGTAACATTGAATCTTGGATATGCCATATTGTTTGCATGTTTGTAATCCCATTTTCAGAGCTAATAATTCAGCACCAGTAGAAGGGTAAAATCCAAATCTGCTCTGAAATTAAAAAAAAAAAAATCCAATTGCCTATCACTTCTCTAATAATTCCTCTACTTGTGGTGTGTCCAATTTGGTTAACTGAACCATCTATATCGAGCTTGAAGTAATCATTAGTAGGTGGAGTTCACTTGGCTTTTCTTCCTTGATCTTACCTCACGCCGGCTGTAAACCAACCTTTTTGATTCCTTTATCTTCATCTACCATACCCACACTATCATCATAGTTGCTAGAGAAAAATCACGGCTTGCTTCTTTATGCCACTAGTGGGCAAACCACAATCGTTGTTTGTCAAAGCCACTTGATCGCCTTTGCTGTCTTCCTCAATAGTCACCCTTCTCCCTGACAATGGAAATTGCTCCCTTCAACGATTTACCTTTCCTTGGTATGATTTTTCTTCCCTGACGCTCTAATCTATTTCTCTTCCCTCTCAACAAAGGATCTCAATTTCAACAATAGGATTGGAACTCTAAATAAATAAGTATCCTTGTCATTCAAATCTCAATGGCTTAGTCTTGCTTTGATGTTTGGCCTCTTTGGGGGCTTCTTTCAAGGAGCAGTCTTTGCTCATCTTTGCCTCAGATATTGCAATGTGTGCTAGAGTATTTCTATAAACGGTGATTTTGAAAATTCTTTGTATTCATTTTTTATTGTTTGAAATTTGTATTTATCTAAGATTTCTTGCTTTTGGGATTGAGTCACTTCAATAGAGGACCATCATGCTGAATCGATTTAGGGTCATACAAATTGAAGAAAAAGATTAACTAAATTGTGTATCCGAAAGGAGGAGATTCTTCTTGCCATTTCAATCACTATTTGTTTGAGTTTTTTGGGTTTTCAAAGCCACAGGGGAAGATCAAAAAGTCCCTTTGTTTCAATCTCAACCTTCTCATCATCATCACCATCATCCTATCAAATGAAGTGGTTTGTCATCTTTTATTGAATATTTTTCTTCTTCTTTTGGTTAAATTCGTATCAAGACGTTAGGAGCAAACATAATCACTATAGTGTACAAGAATCTTTTTCTTTTTCAATTATGTTTTTGGATTTCTTTCTTGAAAGGAGCGTGATTGTTTTTGCGTTGGACATACACCCTTCTAGAGAAGCTTCCATTTGGGTTCTTGGGGGATTGTTTTTGCCACAAATCTTTTAGTGAGTTGTTGATGCTTCTAGAAAATTGAAGTTGTTGTTGGTGATGGAGGGGTGGAGCATTTGGTGGGTATACACAGGTCAAAACTTTTTTTGGAAGAAGAGAAGGTATGAGTTGAATGCCATGTCAGCATGACATTTTAACAAAATAAGTTAGCTAATGGTTAAACAGTTGGATCTATTAGCTCAAGACAACATTGTACCATCTTGAAAAAACATTAGTGTGAAATTATGCTAAAAAAACTTAAGTATATGAGGTGCAATTACATAAAGACTTTAATGATAGTTTTGTACCTTAACCTAGTTTTTTTCAACAAGAAATTATTTATATATAAATGATGGTTAAGTCCAATGAAAGAAACTTAATTCTTATCAAGGTTAAGTTTAAACTTAAAACATGTCCTAATGGTAATAAGCCCTCAAATTTGACTCACCTAATTTTTTCTTGCAAAAAAATAATTATGGTTCAAACCTACGTGGTTGTTAAAAAAAAAAGATTAAAATACATAAAATCTTTTTAAACTTTAAAGTAATTGCGTTTGACCTCATTCACATTTAAATGTTTAAAAATAACTTCCTGACTGTTAATTTTATTTTTAAAAGCCCTCTATCATTAATTAATCTATTATGTTATCAATAAAGTTTTCCATGGCGGATAAACAAAAGTCACATAGTAACTTACGTGATATTTTATCACATAGTAGTTTATGTGACATTTTATGTAACCAAATAATAAATGTATAAAAATTATATTATTTTTTAAATGTTTATTTTTGCATTAATTTTATCCATTTTTTGGGTTATAAATGGTGCATCATTTCTTCTATTAAGTGATAATTTTTTTTTATATAATTCTTATCAATAACAGCTTTTAAATATTTTTATTTCTATTTTTTTTAATATAAAAGGATTTTTAATTGATAAAGAATAATAAAATTATAATTTTTTCTTAAACTGTGTTAATCGTGGATGATCAGAATAACGCCCTTCAACTTGAAAAAGAGAGTATGTTATGTTTGTTAAAAATAAAAATTACAGTTTCGCCCCTTCCTTAAATTATGTTAAAAAATTGATAAAAATATTTTTTCCATATCATGTATCATGTGTATTTTATTAATTTGACATAACGAACTCTATTTATAATATAACAGAATTAGTTAATAGTAAAGGCTTTCAAAATTAAAATTAAACGTTAGGCCAATTTTAAATATTTAAAGGTAAGGAAGATTATATACAGCAGCTTCAAAATTTAAAAAAAATTTATGCATTTTAATAAAAATGAATACATGATAGAAGAGATACCCAATTAAGTTCAATCATGTTCAAAATTAATCAAATAAATAAATAAATAAATAATTTATGTAAGTGAGTGAAAATAAAAGAGCTAGAAACATTTGTTGACATTGAGAGTGAGACATGAGAATTGTATTGGCCATTTAATATTTTAATGGTAAGCTAAGATGATTGACGATTCATTGAATCCGAAGGCTGTTGACTCGCTAACTTGTTAGAGCTTAGTGTCCTCCATTGGCACCACAGGACACACCACTATGTACGCTTCTTTCACGTCAATTGGTAGTTGGCACTTGGCTTTGGCAGATCGAGGTTTGGGTTGTGCAAATCTCAATTTTGAATACCACAAGCTTATTGAAAAGCCTGAAAAAAATAGTTGCGACAACTATTGATAGAGAAACCAATTTACACAAAAGTAAAAAATAAATACTTTTAATTTCAGCCGTAGATAAAATTTAGGAACTCATCTTAGCATAAATCACATTATAGTTATTAAAACTTTTACTTTAACTTTCATTAACAAACTCTTTAGTTCATTCTAACTTTAATTTTACAACTTCTAATCTAAGCACATCCAAACGGTGTGATTCGCACACGCATACGATGCTGCAACAATTAAGTCATTTTCACATGCACCTCTTGAATGACTTAAGGATTGGTGCATATGTTTGCTTTGACGGACTTCTGTCTTCTTCTTTTTTCCAATTATTTCGTGACATTTATAAGTATTTACAATTGTTTACTTAGCCACGTGGTCAAATTCAAAACTCTACATTTATATTGAAATAAGAAAACCGAATACAGATAAATAAAAAATCAAAAACCTGCCATGAAAGCTAGGTGTTAGAGATTAGGGAGGGGGAGTCAAAAAGCAAACAAGAAATAGAAGGGGAAAGAAGAAAGAGGTTCCTGATGTCGTCATTGGTGACTGACCGCGAGTAGCGTGCAAGATCAGATGAAACAGAGACTCAAGGCAACAACTTGCAAAGAAAGTTTTAGTCGTTGGCTTGCACCTGTGCCAAGTGACATTTTGCGGAACATGGATACATAACATTAGAGACATGTGAATATCTGTGAAAAATTTCTTCTCGACCTCACTTAAAAAAATGTATCATCCATTTGAGAAAGTATTCTGCAAGAAAAGGTTCGAAAAAACTAAAGAGGGGGCTTCTATGCCGAGAAGTAGCTCATCAAATCATGCTGCAAAGTGGTAACATAAATCACCGTAACTGGTTTTTAAGTAATGAAATTTAGTTTTAACAATAAAAAAAAAAGGGGTTTGTTATCCTTGATGCACTGTTGAAAAGGCTGTGGCTGGGATTAAGTAGCTCAGCTTCTTCAGTATTAAAAGCAACGCTGATCTCCAAGACACCAGGCATACCTAGAGACTCTCCGTGTTTCTTATTTTCTTTTTTTAAATTAAGAGCAGATACTAATGACCTAAAGTTACAAATAGAATCGAACTCACAACTTTAAGGGAGCTAACAGTGCCATTAGATTATCAGGCCATTGACTCTCTCTCTCTCTCTCTCTCTCTCTCACAGTTCCTTTTGAAGATGAAATTAGAACAATTATATTATATATATAGAAATTAGAACAATTCAGCGAGTTCAACTGCCACACATATTCGCGCCTTTCCCCAGCTAGAAGTGGCTTCTGGTGATCGGACTGCTTGCCATTAAATATTAACACTGCACTGATTCCTCTCGGAATCGGATCAGGAGGAACTCCAAAAGACTTCTCGTGACCAGAAAGACTGCTTTTGGAAAAAAAAGCATCCACATGTCGTGAATTCAGGTTATGAGATTCGAGCGCTCAACAAATTGCTTCACGTTGTTTCTCAAGTACTACAACTAGAACTGGAATAGTGAATTTGGACCGCTCTAATGTCTAAACTTTCGCTTTAATAATTGCCCGAAGTGGGTCAAGAGAGAGATGTCTAGGTCCTCAAATTACAAATTCACCCAAGCACCAATTAAAGCACGAGCGTTCCGTGTCTGACAGGAAAACGCCCCGAATAAAGCATATTGTTGTAGTCGCCAATTGCTGAAACTGAAACTGTGAGTAAAAAGACTGGCTGTAATTGACGCAATTAAGTACGGAAACATTAATAGTCAAACGGACAATGAAGTGGGGTGTCGAAATGAAGGATGACTTGGTGGGTATTTAAAGCTAGTCTCTTTTGTTATCGTGGGGGTGGTGGGGACCATGATTAATTAATCCTCAACGCAAAGATTTGCTCAAGCCACATTCAGTACCATGAAATGGACCCAGCCATCCAAATTCCTCCAAATCTTTGAAAAGATATAATTGGAAAAAACATCAACCCAAATGAAACTCCACTAGGATACCACTGGCATACCTCACGACACAAGCCTCAGTTGAGTTTATCAAAACTCCAATAACGTTACCAAGCCAATACAAATTCCCATGAGAAAACATTGGGGAAATCTCATGCTACTTAATATTAAAGGGAAGATACAAAGGCTTGTCAAAAGCCACAACACTATTTCTCATTACATCTACCCCCCCCCCCCCAAAAAAAAAAAAAAACTGAAAGGCTCAAATCTTACAGTGCTGTTACAAGGCCCCAGTCAATGAATATTATAGAGCTTCCTCTTAAAATTCTGAAATTTCGTCCCAGTCTATCTCTAAAGAATGAGCCTAAATTCAAAGCTGTGAATCATTATCATTTCAATAGAGCTGGTCTTGGCCGTATACACTATCAATCTCCAATCTTCAAGGAAACATCACAATTTCAAAGTCAGCCACTTTCTCTTCTGCAATTACCAGGCAACAAATACTTGTATTTCGACGCATTATTCAACAAATATGCTGGAAGATGTACTGCTGAGAAAGAATGAGGAATCGGTCCCATCTTCCCAATAATTTCCTTAAATGTGTACTCCTCAGGAAGCATGTCGAACAGGTCAGCTCCTTTGCATATCACGTCCTGAATCCTATCCGGGTTCAGGTAATGAGGGAACCTCACGCGATCATAATGGCTGTACGCTTTCATCTTGAATACGAACTCACTGATACGGCGGAAACAAAAGCTACAATGCCAACCAGCATCTGATAACAAGACTTCAGATTGTCTAAAGTGGGCATACCTAGTCTTACCCCTCTGGTATCGATGGACCGATGCTCTCCAGCTTTTGTTGTCTAGATAGAACTCAAAAGAGTACAGGTAATTCCTCAATTGCAGATGAAGAATAGGTGGAATGTCATTGCACCATCTCAAGAGATTGATTGTGTGGGCGCTAGGAATCTCATCAACATCAGACATGATCAAGAGATCATCATCTTCTATACCTGATATCCTCAGAAGCTGGTCCAGGGCCACCCTTTGATATGCTTCTTCAACAAAAGGATTCTCCCCCTTCTTAAATCTTCCTCCAATGACCCCATACGTCAGTTGGGGCTCAGCAAAACTGAATTTCTCCCTGTTGGTAGCAAAAACCAACGGTTTGGGCATTCCTGTAAATGTTGAGTTTGATTCAAGAAGCACAAACTGTGTCACGTACGGACTCATTTCTTGCCAACGAATGGTAAGGATGTCGAGTTCATTACTGAACAAGACAGCATCAAAAACTCGTCGGGGTGATTCACGAATTCCCCAACCATGAAGTCTACAAAGTGTCTCCATCGATACATTCTCATGATAATAGTGAGGAATTTCATGGAAGGGCTTTGGAGGAGATTCCCAAAGTGGTCTCAAGAAGTATGTTATTTTCTGCCCATGCAGGTAGATAACAAAGATGCCGGCTGGAATGAACACAAATAAAAGCAGCAACACATTGAGGTGTAGCCCTCTTAAAATACAGCGAAGTCTTGACATGCTCAACACTGCATATGTACCCTGCTGTGTAGTAAATAGAAATTTTCTAAGCTATATCGATCTCAGTAATAGAATATATCATTTCACATGCTTAACTTAGCATAATGCAATATGCAACAACAATCAGATGATACTATCCAAATTTCAAAAGCCACCACGTGGAATGATTCCAAGACCTTCACTAAAATATGTTTTGAAAGAAATCTGAAAAGGAAATTCTAATGGCACACACACACAGGAGCAACGAAAACAATTAACAACTACCACAATTGTGCAAAACATACAACTACTTGTTTCGTCAGAACATCCAGAACTCTAATCCATGACTGAAATGACTGTACAACACCTTCTCTTCAAATCCCTAGGATTCAAAACTGAGTAACCCATAAAAAAAATGCATTTAAGAAGTACGTACAGGATTTTGAAGCAGAGGGGTGGGGGGAGCCTGTCAATGAGAGCGCCAATCCATCAACTAGAAGTTCAAAAGCACACAACAGAACAGACTAATCAATGCTTTCCATATCGTAGATACATATTGGGAAAAGCAAAACATAAAAGAAAGAAGAGAGATTACACGACAGAACATAGTAAAAATATGGGAAAGAGTGAACCCAACAAACTTCAAGCTCCCATTTCGCATTAACGAAGTAAACTAATGACGACGGCCATTGACGAAATACCAAAAAGAAAACCAAAATTTCAGGGGAGTTGAGAGAAAATAAACAGAAAATTTAGAAAGAAAAAACAACTGATAAAAGGAAGTTCGTACGAACCTGACCACAAACATCCTCGCAGATGTCGTCAGTCTTCTTCGAATTAGAATACCCATCAGACATGGTGAGGTTCACTCTGAAAATGAAAACAAGGAGAACTTCCTCCCTGATGAATCCCTGGGCAAAAAGCAGCCCAGCGAAAACCCCTTGAAGAAAACAAAGGACTAGATTGCAGTGAAAATCTGGGGAAATAGAGAGTCGAACCCTACAAAGCTACGATCTTTAAGGCCCAAAGATGTCTGTCTATTGCGCTCTCTGCTATTACAATCATATCTGTCTTTGTAACGTCAATTATAGCCGTTTGGGGGGGTTTTTCGCTCCTCCACCGGATACCCCTTCCGAAAATTGGAGGACGTGGGGTATTTAAGCACAGAGCAGTGAGGGAATACCTCCTACCTGAAGGTTGGATGGTTAATAAACAATCTGTAAAAATGAAAACGAATGCAAAATAGAAAATATAAAATTAAACATTAATATATGTTTCTCCTCGAAAAGGGGAAAATCAGAAAGGCGTAGGGGAAAGAAGGGTGTGTCGAAGTTCCATTGATCAGTAGGGATAATGTAAATTCTACGGTCGTGATTGCAGGATGTAAATGACGAAAATGTACATATTAACGGCTACAGTTCTTAGGTGCTCTTGTCTTGACTGAGATTTGATGGCCGTCGGGATGAGAGACGGACGACACGACGTGAAACTCCCAGGCTTAAAATTCTAAAATTAAGAGATGGCCCAATAAAAATACAGCATACAGCATTAAATTAAAATAGCGGTGCTTTTCCTTTTTTTATTTTTTGGGCAGAATGACATAAAGATTTAAAAAAATTAATTAATTTAAATTAAATTTCAAAAATATTAAATTTTAAAAATTTATAATTTAATTTTTTTATTCTGTCGTGATGAATTTATAATTTATATTTTTTAAAAAAATAATTTTTTATTTCTCAATTACGATAAATTTATAAATTTTTAGAATTTAATATTTAAAATTTAACTTAAATTAATTAATTTTGTTAAAATTTTTTTGTTAGTTTCTCTATTTTCTTTTATTGGGTGGATCTTCATTGACAAATATAGCCTTGCTAGCTTTCAGCCCTGTGCTTTTGTCTGGAACTTGCCCTGCAGGAAAAAAAAGACGTGATTAGGATTTCACCTAGATTTTCTCATACAAAAATATAATTTTAGATATTTATTAAATTACATTAGTGTCACAGATTTGTTAAAAATAATTATTAGAATTATTATTATTATTTATTAGATAAGATTTATTCACCTCTTTTGTGATAAAATTTCTGTTTAACAAGTAAATAAATCTATTTTCTAAATTATTAATCTCTCCATTCTCAGGCTATTATTATTTGACATTATAACATATAGATTATATTTGAGTTCAATAAATTTTTAGGGGACAAGTGAAACTTTTAAGGGGAATTTTTTTTTCCTTTATGAGGGGGAAATTAAAAATTTTGGGTTATTGAAATCACAATTGTTTATATCCTCAAATGATTTTTAAACTACAAGATATGTCGACTTTTGTCAGATTAACGATGCAAAATATCAAGTAATATGCAATTAAAATGTATTGAGGTGTATATTGTATAATCAAGATTTGGTTTCGTTAGTTTTTTTTTTTTTTTCATAGCGCGCACCAAGATTGGCACACGGCCACAGAAAAAATAGGCAGCACTTTTTAGTTTTTCTCTCATCCGGTGTAAATGGAATAATGAATGTGTAATATTGTAATTTCAAGTAGAAAAGGCCTCTTATCTTTAAGAAATGGAAACGAAAGAAGAAGAATATCTTAGCTGTCAAATTCATGTGTAAGTGATTGTACATAAAATATATCCATTCAAGAATATTGTCTTGCCTTGATCCGATTCTGGCGACCAACCGAAAAAAAAAAAAAAAGAACACAAACAGATAAGGGTTGGGGGGTGACTTGATTCCATTGCAGAACAGACACACATTTGAATTGGTATAAAAATGAAATTATTTTTATTTGCCAGGTATCACACGCAATGAATTTCACCTACAGTCACGACCCGAGTCTCCATCGCATTATCGCGTCGTCGCACTTGGCGCTCCCAAGGTAAGGAGGAACTTTTGCATCCAAAGTGAGTGACTATGGCCTCTGATAGAAAAATTAATATCTTCTCTGTTTACTATGAAGTATAAACCAACCATGGTATTATTAAAATTACTTGCCAAAAAATAATCATTGAAAACATAAATTAATGATGACATTAACTAAAGATAAATTGAAAATATAACTTGTTATGTAAAGCAACGAACTGTTTTAAGGAAACTTTAAATGAAAATGCGTTATATTATAGTAGATGAAAGGAGTTATAATACAACCTCCATAAACATGTTGCGACACCCCATCTGATCCTTGATATAAGATAAACTAGACTAACTATAAGTTTATTGAGAGATGATAATTATATCATTAAAACTATTGTAATATATTTTTCTACTGTTGTCGTTATTTGCAATCAATAATCATAATAAACTATTGTATAGGAATTTAAACAATAATAAATAAATAACGGATAGAATTTAAAAAATATTAATTATTCTAACTTTGTTTTATACTGAGGATTATAAAATTTCAAAATTTGTGACCAGAATAAATAATAATACAACTCATGGTCAAATTATTGTTTCATTATTTGTACATGACGATGGTGCGATGGATCATTGAAGCAAGAACAAGTGCTATATATTTTCGTGAATAGCCAGGGTCCCCTAGCAAGTCAACAACGGTGTGTGTTTTTGCATTGAGGAGCCGTTGTCAGTTGTAATTAAGGTCTGTCAATGTGGGACTCTTCATGTTAGTGGTTACTCTGACCGGGTCCGAGTCAGCAAATATCTCACAATCTCATTTAATTACTGGCTTGAATCTTCTGCGTTCTCTTGAATTAACAATATTAATTTTGGGAATAAAATTACAATGTGTTGTTGAGACCAAGGTGTCTCATTTTAGCCAACTGCGTCCATTGGCAACAACTTACAAACTATGGCCAATCCTTGTATTTTTAGAGATCATGCAGGATTCATTATAAAAATAATACGCATAAGATCTATAATAAAAAAAAATAATGGTGGATATAAGACTTATAGTGAAAATAATAAATGCAAGATATGCAATAAAATTACAAATTTAATTTAGATAAAGTGTAAACAAATCCTTTAACTGAATATTTTTCTGAAAATTTAATTTTTAATTATGTGGGGATAACACTTTCTAAAATACTAAATTATTCTTTATACTTGGGACAACATGCAATGACTATTAGTTTGAAGGCGGTTTTGCATATTTTAAAAAATCGAAGAGAAGTACTGTAACAATAATAGAGAGAATTTAGTGTATTTCATTCTTTCTTTTTTTAAGCCACCAACAGGGCTGGATTGAGTAAAAAAAAAAAAAAGTTGTTCACAGCATAACAAATTAACATTCAAATTCTTACAAGTAAAGTGTCAACATTTAATATTTAATCACGCTTCGAATAAAATTATCTGAGATAGGAGAATATACTTGTATACAATACAAAATATAAAGCTAGGTAATAAATTATAAAATAAATTATTTTATTGTTTAAATTTTAATTTTAGTCTATATAGGATAATACATCCTAGAATAATAAATTATACTTTGCACTATCTTTCATGTGCACAAAATAACAAATTTTAAATTAATTTTTATAAAAATAAAATGAGTTGGTATTTATATTTTTAATATTATGTTATTTATACTTTCAACATGCACAATGATAAAAAAAAAATCTAAAGTAAAAAAGTTATTATGGCCGATGTGATTATATCTAACTCGGTCTATAAGTAATGAATAATTATATAAAAATCATACATTAATAATTTAAACCTTCACTTGTTAACATATATCGAACTATATAAAGAGTTAAATTCAAACAAATAAACCACCAGAACCTGATTTAAAAGTGAAATAAATTATGAAAACTTGCATATTAATTTTTTTCATATTTTTTAGGAAAAATAGTGATGAAGGACCATCGGAAAAACTTTATATCAATTAAAGATTAGTTATTATCAAAATTTAAATGAAAAAAACCTGAATAGATTGTTATTAATTTATAATAATTTATTATTAAAACTTAAATGGATGCTTATTAATTAAAAATTAATGTGAACAAGTGTCCATTTAAGTTTTGACAACAAGTAATTATTTACTGATATGAATTTTCTCTAAAATCTTTGATTGATATTTTTTCTATTTTTATGATAAATTATTTATGTTTTTTTATATATATAAAGATAACACGTTGTAAAATAGAAAAATTTATTTGAATTTCAACTTACATTGGACAAAACTTTTTCAATAAAGATAGATTATTATTTATATTTTTAATATGCACATGCATAATAAATTTTAAAATAGAATAAGTCATTATTCAATTTTTATCCACATAAAATAATAAATTATGAATATACCAAGTATTTTTTAATTTGAATATTATATTCATATTTATTTTTTAAATATTAAAGGATCCCGTGAGAATAGATCTAGTTGCATTGATAATGTAAAATAGATACAAAATCTCATATTTGCAAGTTTCAAAGGGCATGATTGTATCATTTTTTGTTTTCTATAAATTATAAGCAATGCGACTATTTTTCATATTTTATTCAGTATACATATATACAAATATCTCTTCATGTTGAAAGTTATTATTTTTTTTTGGAAATATTGAAAAGTTTTATCACTGTCTGTGAAGACAAAAAATACGCCACATGGATTGACTAAATATAAACGAGAATGACATACATCCAAGACAGACTATTGTTTGATCATGTGATTCGATGAACATTGCATTCAGATAAAACAAATAATAGGTTAAAAATTATGCTAGAATAAATTTTATATACAGCTTACATGTCAAAATAATTACAGTTAAAATAACATTGAACATATTCTTTGTTAGTCATTTTTCCTTACTTTACAATATAAATGTTCTCTTTTAATTTCATTAATTTTAAATTTTGCACCTTAAGATTACAATCCACACACGGTCTAAAACGAAGCTATTTGCGACGACTGTGTTATGTGGATTTATCATCTATCCTTCATCCGATATTTAACGTAGGCCATATTATTCATGTCTCATGCAATTTCTTCTTGAAAGAAAACAAAAGATATTTGGCATAATTCGGTGGGCAAAAAAAAAAAAAAAAACACGGTGGATCAATATTATCCAAAATGTGAATTCACGGGGAAAGGCATCCATTTCGACGAGTGTGTATGCCACTAGTTCTCCCCGTGAATTATTCAATTCCAGTTCCCGTCCCATGGGTCAGTGCGTAGCTTCCTAGAAGGTTCGGGGGTATCCAATGCCATTCTTTTCACTTCACCCTAATTCCACTTCAGC